TTTATAAAGATACAATTTAAATACAACTTTTCGGACACAAAAAATTCAACATTAATATAGGCAATAAGAACGTGAACCATATTAATAAAGGTACGACAGATGACTATAAAAAGTAAAATCTTTGCTAGTAAGCAAAAAATTCAATTTTTGTACTTTTACACCAGTAAGTGAAAAACCTTACAAATTATTCCCCACATATGAAGTTCAGGAACTTACTGACTATATTAACGATTTGAACTTAAACGTAAATATATTAAAACTAAATATATTAAATAACTATATATGACTGATTTTACAACTGGTCAGGCAGTCAGATATAAAAGAGTTCGAGGACTTAGGAACTACCAGAGGTTCATGCATGTTGCAAGCAATTGCATACGGTTTTTAATTTACGGGCGGAAATGTATAGAAATTTATATATTTTTTATTAGCATGGAATTTACTTTATTGTAGTCCTTTGTTGTGCTTGTATTAATATGTGTAACATTTTTATTAATTATATTAATGCTCCAACAAATGGGATAAGCAACTAATTACCTCTTTCTGAGGAGTGTTATATAAAATGAATACTGGATGTAAGCCATTTTCCTTATCTTTTGCCATGTTTAGCTTGGACTGCTTCTTAGCTATCTTTGGAATATTGACGAGTTTTTTGGTTTTAGGTAGTTTCTTATTTTTTGCCGCATCTCCAATGTCGCGAACTGTTGTTGCATGATGGCTATGTTGGGCAGTCCACGAAACTTACCTTCCATAACTTCTGTGCAATAATCAGCATTGCTATCGGAGTTGCTGGAGTTGAGCTTCTTGTGGAGGTCTGCCACAATTGTTTTATAATTATTAATTTCCTCTTGTTACTGTTGGAATACTTGCTGAAGTAGCCGCTGCATGTCGCGCAGCTTTTTTCCGTTTTGCTATCCTTTTCGTCATTAGGATCGGTGCTAGCTATTCGGCTACCTGTTTTCTTCGTCCTTTTTTCTGCTTCTTAGGGGAAGCAGCACAAGTTGATTCAGTAGGTACAATGGCCCGAACCATTTCGTCCTGCATGCGAGCGCAGTAAGATTTAATAACTTTAGCATCTATTTTTTCTTCCGCGAAGACTAAAAACATCTGATTATTTTAATAGGCATTGTACGCCACCAGTATAATAAGGTCTGTGCGCTCTTCTTAATTAGGGCCGTTGAGAAAGATGCAGTGGATCAGAGATTGCAGTCAATTAGAGCTTAGTCAATTAAAAATGCATTTAAGCAGAGATTGAGGTAATCATGTGACTGAATAGTCAGGTTAAGATGAATCTGAGTTTATAGGAACATAGGCCTTACATACTTACAATTGATAGAGTTGAACTTAAGAATGAAATTGACAAAAGCCTAGGACACATAAATTTGATAATTAGTAATGCAATTAATAAAGCCGTCACAACGAAGACCTCGGTATATTACAAAGTTCATAGTTAGTACACTCCAGAAGGCAGTGTTACTTCATTTCAGGTACTTATTTACAATGTTCACATTTTTTACTTCAACTATTCATATGTTTGAAAGAGATGTTCGAACGCGATGTTCTAGTCAAGCTAAAATGCGAAACGAACTCTTTTTCCGTGTTGCTTCAAAACCGCTGTCATCTAAATTGAGTATGCATTCTGGTTTCAATCTGTCTGTTGATATAAACCTCTCCTTACCGTCGATTAATATTTTAAATATTTTCTTCGCTCTTTTTAATACTTTACATGGTTCATTGTAGGGGTTCTGTATTGGCTTTTTAACAGCGTCACATCTAACGAATATAAATGAACACTTGTGTAATTCAGGATCGACGAATTCGGTTTACAACGAGTTGAGCGTGGTAAAGGCTGGTTGTAAATTGCTTACATTGTTTCTGAATTTCTGCATCCATTCTGTTGTAGAAGGTGTGTTGTTATCAGGCTCAAATAAATCTCTAGGAAGTTTTAGTGTAGCTCCATAAACTATCTCTGCAATTGAAACTTTACATTTTGTAGTACTTTGCATCTTAGACCCAGTAGCATTAAGGATAGTGCTTCAATTACTTTTTTCGTGACATTTTAAAGCGGTTTTAAATTTTCTATGCCATCTTTCAGTTAGTCCATTGGATTGTAGATGATACGGAGTCATACGAACTTTAATACCCAAGCGCTTGATTAATTCTCGGAAAAGATGCAATTCAAACCGCCTACCTTGGTCTGAAACTATTTGTTTTAGTACACCAATTCGTGAAATCCATGTCTGCATAAAGGCATTGGCAACTTATTTTGCTGTTATGTCTTCTACGAGTAATGCTTCTGGCCATTTGGCAAATCTATCAATGCAAGTAACTGTACCCTTGAAACTCTGGTGACGGATCCACGATATCTATGTGTATATTGTTAATGCTTTGCGCTGGATGCTGAAAATTGCTGATAGCTGTTTTAGTGTGTCGGTTAGTTTTGGCATTTCGACATGTCATGCATTGTCAATCTGCTACATCTTTTTTTAATGACTTCCACACATATCATTGCTTTGTTATTGTTGCCGTCACACCAGGATGCGCTAGTGAATGAATTGCGTCGAAAATTTTTCTCTTAAATGAAGAAGTGATGTATGGTCTTATTTGTGACGTTGAGGTATCACAATAACACACAATCTACTTCTTTTTGTTTGAGTGTACATTTTAACAAATGTGCAGCAACAGTAAACATACCAGCCGCAGACATTTAGAATCGGCAATAACAACTCAGAAGAAAGCTGTACAATGAGCATTCAGCAATTAGAAGTCCCGTTTTCCGGAATTTATATAAAAAGAGGAATTATTCAACAGAAAGACACTCAATGACAGGCCACGAAGCAGAACACTTGGCAGAACCAGAGCAAGTGTACAATCAGGTAACTAAAACATTTATTAACATTTTTCCTAGTTCACCAGTGTAGCCCAGTCGATAACACTGACTCTTTAACAACGCAGCCTTGTCGGTAGTGTTGGTTCCAAATCCACCATTGGTTAGAATTTTTTATTATTTCAGGAATTATAATAATTCTTAATATTTGCAATTATAATATATATTGTTAGCAAATAAGTTATAAATATTGTAAAAATTAATTTCGGGAAAAAAATAAATAAAGAAATTAAAAGAACAATTAACCGGCTTTAAAATTATTATTCGAAAGATTCAGGGTTATAAGAAATATTCTTGTAACGACTCTGGGATCCGGCGAGCAAAACCTCGGCTGATAAAAAGGTTGAGATTATATTCAATATGTTGTACATATTTATAGTTAATGTATTGATAATAATACCATGAATTTTCACTAAAATGCTGCCTTCAATGGCTGCTACAATGGTGTGGATTTTTGTTGCGTCTTGAGTTACTCCTTCAATAATAAATTACGAATCAATTTGTTTGAACCATAACACTGGATCTGCTCGCCAGAATAGTGAAATTTTAACTGCAACTCTTGAGATTTCTGCATTTTGCTGCGGCTGGATCGGAATTTGTTGATCAGATTCGATTTTCGCTTGTTATCTTAAAAAATTGTTGTGGTCATGAAAATGACTTATTATTTTTCTCTTTAATAAAATATACCACTTTCGATAGTCGTTAAAACGACTATTTTACAAGCTCATCAATTGTAGTTATCACTTGTGGACAATATTAACACTTCTGCTATTTGCTGTACGCGCCCGTCGGGTTCCCAATTGTGTAATTCCGTTGCACTCCAGAAGGCAGTGTTACCTTATTTAAAGTACTTATTTACAATATTCATATTTTTTGTTGCAACTATTCATATGTTCGTACGCGATGGTGCCACAAGACTAAGGAGAACTATGAAAAGATGCGACGACCCAAGTAAATGAAATACTCTGAAAGCTATAAATATAATATAGATATCGTCATTACTAACCATATTAAATGAATAAAAGAGAATAGGAGATATGATAAATTTAATATCTATAGAGGGATAAAAAATATATGCGGTGTAAGAAATTATAAAGATATACCCCCATCCAGTCGAGCGCTGACTATATATTATATGCAAATCTGCACAAAGTATGGTAAATGCGCTTGCAGAAAACCTCGAAAAGGTGCACACGGTCAATAGGGATTTAGCGGACTATTTGATCAGTGATCAGGTAGGGGAAGTAGAAGTATCACTTAGAAACCCTGATACAATCATACAATTCAATAGAGACAAAAATTAAGATGGGTTTAGTGTCAGAGACCTCCGTGCTCGTAGGACACTCCCCAATATTACGACAGAGGATATAGGTTCTAAAACTAGGTCCCAAAATAGTAAAAAGAGCTTCGGATAAGACGTTCTGAACCTCATACTAAAGAGGACCAATAAGCAGCTGTGTGCATGCGTTGCTTTCTGTTCAATCATATGTACAACCTGACTTACTTCCCGGACGCCTGGAAAGTGGTTAGGGTTGTGCCGATATTGAAACCTGGCAAGAATCCACGACCATAATAAGCTATAGACCCATGTCGCTTGTGTCTAATGTCAGCAAACTATATGAATGATTTCTTCTAGAAGATTTGAAGGCACAATTGGACAGTAATCACATCCTTTAGGACTTCCAGTTTGGCTTTAGGCATAGGCTCTCTACTATGCATACACTAACCATGCTATCTAGATGTTATAATAAACAACTTGAACAGGAGCAAGGCAATCATAGCACTGTCACTAGGCTTTGAGAAAGCCTAAAGAGAAACAAAAATTTCTAACACCCTCTACTAGAAAATATACACGCAGAATAATGATTAATAGGCAAGAAATATAGTCCCTTAGCATGATAAAATACCTAGGAGTACTCATAGACAGTAATCATACTTTCATACCACATATAAATCTCGCAATAGACAGAACCTGAAATGCATTTTTCACATACTCTAGTCTTTTTCGTAAAGCAAAGTTCCTTAAAGAACACATCAAAATAAACTGTTATACACAACTGGTTAAGCCACTGCTGGACTACGGCTTCCGAGTATGGTTGATAAAATCCATGAAATGATATTGGATGACCGGAGAATGAAAGTGCATGAGTTAGCTCATGCTGTAGGTATCTTAACTGAATGGGTCCATCATATTTTACATGAATATTTGGACATGAAAAAACTCTCCGCGAGATGGGTACCGCAATTGCTCACACTCGACCATAAGCGCAATCGTGTAACCACTTCAAAAGAGTGTTTAGCGATGTTCAGCCGTAATCCGAAAGAATTTTTGCTCCGTTTTGTTTCTGTAGACGAAACATGGATTCATCACAACACGCCAGAGACCAAGGAACAATCGAAACAGTGGGTTGCTAGGGGTAAATGTGGACCAAAGAAGGTCAAACAGAGTCTGTCAACTAACAACGTCATAGCTACAGTATGCAAGCGGTGTTATTCACATCGATTACCTCGAGAAAGGTAAAACGATCACCGGCGAATATTATTCAAAGCTTTTGAACAGATTCGACGTTGATTTAAAGCAAAAACGGCCGCATTTGACGAAGAAGAATCTGCTGTTCTATCAAGACAATGCACGTATGCATACTTGTGTAGTCACTTGCCGAAAAAAACTTGTTTTATTCAAAAATTCACTGACTTATCAAACCACCCTCGTAACATCTCATAGCCTGCTGAAGCACCTGATGTTGTGTTTCTACTAGAAGATAGGTACCTCGCGCCACTGCATCTGAGCATCCTCAATCTCAATAATATGATCTACGAAAACCAGAAGGTAATGAACTACCACAGAAGACATTCCACAAATGATCTTGCCAGTCCAGTTCACTCCACTGCTCAATACACAAATTTATTAAAAATTGGACTTTGTAAAAAATTCTATATATTATATATTTTAAATATTGTTAATAGTAGCTTTAAGTAAGATTAAGGTGAATTAAGGTAGTGTTAAGGTAGTATTAAATTAAAATAATTAACTCAATGATGTGATTTTCATTTTTATTAAAATTTTTTAAAAAAAAGTAATATCAATATAATTAGAAATATTTTTTTAACCCAAGAAACGTCTCAAACCAAAATGTAAAGAACTATTAGAAAAATATTCTAATGTATGTGAAGAACTAGCTGTAATAAACTAATGTAATTATAGCTTTAAGAAAACTTTGTGAAATAAAATTTAACTAATAAAACAAATATCTTTTCGGCGCTTCGGATTATTATAGCTAAGTTCGAGGGTTGAAATTATAACTAAGTTATATTAATGTTAGCTTAAAAACCTAGAATTACAAATGTCAACAGTATTTTGAATAAATAGCTTGTGCACCTGCATAAGTGAAAACTGCGGTTAAACATGGCTAAGTGCCAGAGTATAATAGTGAAAGGTAAAAACAAGTTTCTAAATCTTGCTACGAAAAGGAATATACCTAAACTACTTGCAATGGTCACCAAAGATTTTGTCCTAGAGACGTTGTTGAGTGATCCTAGACGTATTTTTCGTGCTGATTCTGAATCTGCATTTGGATTTTTTCTATCACGTCTAGATTCTTTAAAACAATTGAATGTATGTTTGTGCTATAAAGAAAGTAGAAATTTATTTCATTTATATATGATAAATGTATTATATATTATTTTCGTGAGTCCCTTCTTAAGACAGTGTTATAAACTTTATTTTGACTGTCTGTTGGGTGATCAGGATAAAGGATGGGCATGTCATGTGATGTGCAGCTCCCGTGTAAGGCTTCTCACTAGTTGAACTAAGGGAAATCATCATATGAAATTTGCTGTCCCCAAGATTTGGTGTGAACCTATGGATCATTTTTCAGACTGTTATTTTTGTTTAACAAAAATTAAAGGAATTTAACCGAAGTCAAAACATACAGTAAAATATCCAAACAATCACTCTGAAATTTTACCAGTGCCGAAACCACCGGAAAATGTTAACCCTAGAGCGGATTCTGAAAGTAAAGAAGAATGTGAGAATGAACGTAGCCCAAACACAAAGGAGTCTAATTTCGGACCCAATACATCTGATGTACCTCATCTTATAGCGATAGACGATTTAAACGCTCTAGTGCGCGATTTAAAATTGTCCAAAAAGAAGAGTGAAATCTTAGGATCACGATTAATGGGTTGGAAATTATTAGATCTAAAACCGAAAATTTCTATGTATCGACCTGGCCATGACGAATTTAGGTTATTGTTTTCTCAAGAAAACAACCTTAATTTTTGCAATGATGTTCTCTCTGTTATGGATACTCTTAATTTTGAATATGATGATTGGCCTTTGTTCATTGATTCTTCCAAGGTCAGTTTAAAGGCTGTTCTCTTACATAATCGAAATAAAATCATCTCAATATCGTTAGCCCATGGAACTGACATGAAGGAATCTTACGAGAATATGCAGTTACTCTTAAAAAAAATTCACTACGAAAGGTATAAGTGGAAAATTTGTAGTGGCCTAAAAGCTATTGCAATTTTACTAGGCTTACAACTTGGTTACACGAAATATTGTTGCTTCATCTGCGAGTGGGATAGCAGAGACAGAAAATTGTATTACTTGAAAAAAGATTGGCCACAACGTAAAGCACTCGTTCCTGGAACCAAAAATGTCATTTGATCGATCCTAAAAATATTCCTTTGCCACCTCTGCATATTAAATAAAGACTTTTTAAAAATTTTGTTAAAGCCATGGACAAAAATGATGGTGGTTTTAGTTATTTGAAAAAAAAAATGCCATCGTTTTCATCGACTTGTGACACGGTGCATTGTCTTGGTGGAACAAAACTGTTTTCTTCGCCATATGAGGCCGTTTCTTTGCGATTTCGTCTTTCAAACGCTCCAATAACGCTATATAATAGTCGCTGTTGATGGTCTTCCCCTTCTGAAGATAGTCGATGAATATTATTCCATGCGCATCCCAAAATACAGACGCCATAACATTGCCAGCCAACTGCTGCGTCTTTGGTCGCTTTGGGCGGCTTTCACCGGCTGCATGCCACTCAGCAGACTGCCGATTTGACTCTGGAGTGAAATGGTGGATCTATGTTTCATCCATCGTGATGTACCGACGCAAAAACTCCGACTTATTGCGCGTAAACATGTCCAAACAGCTCTTTGAATCATCGATTCGTTGTTGTTTTTGCTCTGGTGTGAGTAAACGCGGCACCCATTTGGAAAACACCTTTTTCATACCCAAATGTTCGTGTATTATGGTGTGTACACTGCCTGCTGATATCTGTAGAATGTCAGCAATCTCACTCACTTTCACTTTACGGTCGGACATAATGATTTTCAGTGTTTTTTCAACGTTTTCCGGAATAACGACGTCATTTGGCCGTTCAGTAGATGGAATGTCATCGGTGTCTGTACGACCACGTTTGAATTCGGCATACCAATAACAAATGCTTCTTTTTGATGGAGGCGACCTTCACCATAGTTCCGAATGCGATAAAAAAGCCTTAAAAGATACCAACTCCAAAAAATGTAGTAACTGCAGTGGAAATCACACTGCAAACTACAGAGGTTGTCCTATTTATAAAGAACTGAAGCACAGGTTAGCTCTGCACAAAGAAGGTGGTACAGGTATTTTGATACGAAGGCGTCTAAAACACAATATCCTAGGTACATATGCTCATAACTATATGCAAGCCACATCAATATGCCTTAAGCACAAAGGAAAAAATTTAACTTTGTCGGCAGTTTACTGCCCCCCTCGCTTCAACATTACTGATACCCAATTTACGGATTACTTCTTAACTCTAGGTGAAAGATTTCTTGCCGCGGGAGACTACAACGCCAAGCACACGTATTGGGGTTCACGTCTCTGTAATCCAAAAGGAAAACAGCTCTACAATTCAATTGTAAATAGAAAAAATGCACTAGATGTAATCTCTCCTGGGCAGCCAACATATTGGCCTGCTGATAACAATAAAATACCAGACCTAATAGACTTCGCCGTGAACAAAGGCATAAACAAAAATTTTATTTCAACATACACAAGCTGCGATTTGTCTTCTGACCATTCTCCAGTTATATTTTGCTTAATTGATGGTCGTCAGTTATATGACTGTTCCTATAGCCTTACAAGTCCTAGAACAAACTGGCTCAAATATAAAAAGTACATTAATTCACACATACACACAAATTACAAGATAAAGTGTAAGTTTCATATTGAGGACACAACCTCGGTTTTAAACTCAGTTCTGATTTCAGCAGTAGAAAACTCCAACCCTAAAGACAATAAAATTTACAGATCCAATAAAGTACTTACAAATAGTGACATAGAGAATTTAGTTTTATAAAAACATAGATTAAGGCGTGAATGGCAAAAATCTGGTCCACTTTAGTGAAAAACTTATTTAAGGAAGCCCAAAGAAGACTTCTGCATTAAGCAAGCAAACCAAAGTCAGACAATATAATCGTATTCAAAACCTATGTCCAAATGGCAAAAACCATTTATCCTTGTTGTCGAATGCTAGCAAAGGTATAAATTCTTGCATAGAATCCGATTCTCCAATAAGAAACTCTCTCGGAAACTGGGCGTGAAGTGATGAAGAAAAATCTAATGTGTTTGCTGATTTTTTCAAAAAAGTTTTTGCGTCACTTTTACCTTAAATCGGAGTACATCTCCAACAATTTTACTAAATAACATTCCCATACCACAAACAGATAACATAACGTACTTAAGTATTCACCTAGACAGACGACTAACTTGGCGTAAACATATTGAAGCAAAAAAAAATTCAGATGAAGCTTCAAGCCTCTAAGTTGCATTGGCTCTTTAATAGGAGATCTTCCCTGTACCTAGAGTATAAAGTACTCTTGTATACAGCATCATAAAACCAATATGGATTTATGGTATCCAGCTATTTGTTAATGCTAATGCTTCAAATATTGAATTTATTCAAAGAGTTCAGTCAAAAATACTGAGAACAATCACTGGTGCCTCATGTTATATAAGGAATGAAAGCATCCACCGAGAACTACAAATTCTCCTAGCTAAAACTGAATTTGACAATTTAAGAAAAAAATACAGTAAAAGGCTGACAGAACATGTTAATCTCATAGCAAGAAAACTCGCACATTTATGCACTACTTTCCGCTTAAAAAGAGCTGACCGTCTAGCCAATAATTAATATTCAATAGCTTGAAGCAAAGAATCTATAGTACAAAGAAGTGCCACGCTCATACAAACGAAATACCCACATTATTTTGCTGGTGGATTTATAATAAATCCACCCAACCTCATGCAACAATGTTCGATCGAGTCACAACTGGTATGACGTCCAGTTCAAACTCATTGCAACCCATAATTGTTTGTATACGCCTGTTTCTTTTGCCCTTCTTGTTTTTATTTGTCTATTTTATTAATATACATTGATTAGTAGCGAAGTGGATGGTAAAGAAATCCCTCAAATAATTTTTCGATATACTTTGTTGCTTTATCTTCTTGTACTGGAAAGGCCCATATCATAGGAGTAAAGAGTAATAGAATATATTATTTTTTTTATTGCAACAAATGATGCACTACAAAAACTATTATGTATGTACAAATGTGATATTGGAGACATTAAGTCAGCAGTATATTAATGTGTATGTTTTTATTGCACATTTGTGCATATATTTTACCTCAAAAGGAACTACTTCTTAATAGTTTGAATTTTTGGTGACTTTTTGTGATTATTTTTAAAAATATTTTTAAGATTCATATAAAAGTGTTTGAAAAGTATTTTAAAGAAAATAAAAATATTAGAAAAGTAAAAAAAATTATATTGAAAAAATGTATAGAAATCACTAAAACCACTAATAATGCTTCCTGGTTTGAGGAAACGCATGAATGCTATATACACCGAATTGAAATATTAAAATTGGTGATTACGATATTGCTTCCAAAACATTGCGCATGGACAACATTTAAAAATAAAGCTTCATAAAATGGAAAAAATCAGATTTGAGACATAAATAAATTTGTAATGTGTTTTTACACTACAATTCATAACAATATCAAACAGGTATTTTTGTTTCATATGCTATTAAATTTAAAAACTTATCAAATGTACACAATTTTGACTTCGTCACTGAAATGTTGTTTGATCGCTTGAACATTTTACAGCGAACAAACATACAAACATGCATATAATGTAATACAGAGGGTTGCATGTATGATTGAATACGCATGCAGTCGGGCTTTTGTCAGCCTTACTCGACTCACACATAGATTTGAACTGAACATCATACCAGATGTGATTCGATCGAACATTGTTGCATCAGGTTGGGTGGATTTATTATAAATCCACCAGCAAAATAAAGTGGGTATTTCGTTTGTATGAGCGTGGCACTTCTTTGTACTATAGATTCTTTGCTTGAAGTAAAAATCGCACCTTTCTTTTAAGTAATCTGACAAAGTTGAACTGCTTTCTTAATAAACCACCTAGTATGCACTCCAATGAAATTTAATCCATTGTTCTAAGTGATGTTCATGATATAAAGTTTACTTGTTTTACTTTATTTTATACAATGTATTGTTAAAATAAAAATTTGTAATATTATGTAATTAGTGATAAAATTTTACAACTTATTGTTAGTCTCATTCTAAGAGAAGATACAATAAATAAATGTATGTTTAAATAAAAAAAAAAAAATTCATATAAAGAAAAACTCGTCATAGTACTAAATCATGTATACAATATATTTATTTATACATTAAGAAATATAACAAATATTTATTAAATTAAAACTAAATTACACTAAACTATCAATTTTCCAAATAAAAATGTATGAAAACTAAAACAGTTTAATTCACTAAATTATTTAATTTACAAATACAAATTTATTATAATTAAACGAAGCTCACTTCAATATTTTATTAAGTTTACAAATTTTTTAAAATAAAACTTACTCTAAACTAAATTAACAAATAAAATTTACAAATAAAATTTTATTAAAATTCAAATTTATTGGTGCCGTCTTTTGCTTTTACATTTTTGTATTATTAACTGATCTAATTGCATATTAGACTAAACAGGTTTATAAGAATGAATGTTCTTGTACTTTTTGACTTATTGACATCTTATATCGGAGGAAATTGGATTCGTAGAATTACTCCATGTTTACACACTGTGGTTTCTCAGTGCGAAATTCCCTCAAATTATTAATGATAATATAGGTAAGTTTGGGTCGGGCCAGAGGACAACATTACCGGCGTATTAGCTTTAAAAAGACCCATGAAACCATGGGACTAAATTTTTATAAACTATTATAAACAAAAAATGATTATCACTTAAAAAACTTTGTGGGTTGGTTATAGGTAAGATTAATGCGCCCAGTAAAAAGTATTAATTACAGTGAGTTGACCTAAAATACTTCTGATTTAAAACACTTTTGATTTAAAATACTTCTGTTTTAAAATACTTCTGATACTGAATCAAAATTTCCTGAAAATCTGACCACAATATTTTTGATGAAATTAATTCTGAAACTATTTAAGTAGAAATATATTTTACGTATGTTATTTGAATAAACTAGGATATTAAACATTATCTTAACTGAAATTATTTTCAGGTATAGTTTCTTTGACCATTCATCTTTTGCATTAATATAATTTATATGGAAAGATCCTGTATACATTTCATAAATATTGATATATATATTAAATGTACAAATTAATACAAATTAATTAATACATTAATTAATACATTAATTAATACAAATACAAATTTTACATTTAATATTGTTTTACTTGCTTTGTGGTTACTGTGGTTAACATTGCGGTTACTTGCTGTTTGTTGAAGTACATTTTTTGTGTTTTTCAAGGGCAAAATAAAATTTAAAAAACAATTTTTTTTTCTAATTAATAAGAAATTTCGAATAATTTTATACAATAAAAATTAATTTAAAAGATTATTGTTTTTTGGAATTGATGTTAAACCGAATTGTAAAGTTAACGCAAATAATAAAAAGTCAAGACGGTTCAAGTACTGATTTTCTAGACATTGGACTAATAGATTTGGATCTCAAATAGATATTATGTTGTTGTACGTTATGTTCATTTATGAAGGGTAGTAAGCTTTCTTGTTGTATGTCACATTGAAACGACTACTGTTGAGTAAAACCTTTACAATCTGTTTTTGAGCTCAATTAATATAACATTTGCTGGTTGCTGTTCAGCAATAATACTGTAGTATTGAAAATTGATGTTAAAGTGGCTTTCCATGGTGAAAATCATGTTGTGGGAACTGCACATCCGATCTTAAGTGATTCATTTGATAATTCTGTAAATAAGAATGATTTTCCATAATAGGAATATGCATACCAACATTGGTGCACTGAGAATTTTGGTTACATGTGCGTCGTTGATTTTTTGGTACATCAGGTAAAGCAAAACGTAGTTTTTCCCAAAAAAGTTTGTCACCCCATTTAAGAAAAATGTTTGTTTTAAGATAAAGACACAAATCAGGATCAAGATCTCTTTGTACAACATTTCCTAATAAAACAACTATTAGGCGACGACGACGGTCACGAAAAACAGATTGATGTGCTGATTTGAATTCGAAGTTGCACCATTCAGACTTTATATAGTTCTCCGATAGAATCATGATTGTACGCCTTGAAGTATTGATCGTTTGTACAATTGTGTTAGTAGTATAGGTACCAATTGGAAAATCACGATGGTGTAGACAGAGTTTATAACCTGCATCGCCTTGCTCCAGCATGGGTGCGAATACATCCCTAATAAAAGTCTCATCTTTGAAACTATAGGAAACAAATGCATCAAAAAGTTTCTCACGTTCGTTTTTATCCGTATCTTTTAATTTGTTAAAAAGACGCACACCAAACCTCGAATGAAACCAGACACGTATTTCCTGACGAAAAATAAACACAAATAATATGATTATGGTAATTAAAATACACAAAGTCAGCAGAGTTACAAGCGTTGGAACAAAATATTGCAAGGACGACTGTGATAGGATCATTCTTGTAGCGTTTGTATCATCACTGAAAATAACATTGCCAATAAACTGTTTATTATAAAAAACATTAGTAAACATTTCATCACTATTGCTTCCATTGCAAATCACATAATTTATTTTTCTATCATGTTGAGACTCACTGTCATAATAAATTTTAAACTTCTCTGGATGTGATTGGCTAAAGTTGTTCGTAGTATTATCTGGATATGAACTGCAGTAGAGTAAATATTTGTCCTTTACTATTGGTTTACGCTCGATAAAATCACGCAATTTAGTTATAAAATCACATTTGCATGTCCAACGATTCTCTGAGATCCAAATATCAATTATATAAGGAGGAAGAAAATTCCAGATAGCAAACTCAGCAATAAAATTATGATCAAGTCGCAAAATTTTTAAATTATATAAGCGAGTAAAAGTTCTGATATCAATACTAACAATAGCATTGTACTCCAAATAAAGTTCTTGCAAGTTATTCAGACCTTGAAATTCGTCTCCGTTTAAGTGTTTTAAATCGTTGTGGCTCAATTGCAATACTTCTAAATTCAATAATCCGTTAAATGTGCGATTATGTATAGTTTCTATACAAGATCTATTTAAATAAAGAACCCTTAATCGCTTGCGTCCTATGAATGCATGACTAGATAATACTTTAAAGTCATTGCCATCTAAATAGAGCTGCGTAGTATCCATCGGAATAAGCGGTGGTAAATCATGGTCGTATCTCGACTGGGAACAGTCTACCATGTTTAAAATCCAAGACGTATCATGGAAACATGAGCAACGATTAGGACATTCCATTTTACAATCACATGCACGATAATCACAGCAATGACATAATGCAAAGCAATGACTTTCATATTTGCATAGAAGTTGAGTTGTTTGCACCTCAGTTAGAGGCACCGTAATTCCTCCAGCGTACTTAAGTTTGCAGTAGATATTATCTAAGTCAACCAAATCTGGTTGCGTTCGAGAGTCTTTATTAATTTTTTGTATCCAATCAAGATCACAATTACAATTAATTGGATTGCCGCTCACATAAAATTGTGGCATTTCTTTTTCGATTGACACTGGAGATAGACGAAACGTGTTTGGATCAAGTGTAGTTAGTTTATTACGAATTAGATATACTCGCATAAGATTTTGTTTTCTAAAAAACGTATATGGCTGAATTGTAGAAATTAAGTTGTCATTTAAATAAAGAATTTCTATATTAAGCGGGATTGAGCTTGCATTAATTTCTGTGAGCATATTATAACCACCATGAAATGTGCTCAAACCAAATTCGGTTTCTATTTGCAAATAGTTTCCTAAATGATTAATTCTATTTGCACGCACATCTAACCACTGCAATCCTTTTGATATCAAAGAGTAGTCAAAGTTTTCTAGGAGATTATCTGACATATTCAGCCATACTAAATTGGGCAAATCAACAAACACCTCTGTCGCATGTCTTAAGTAATTACTATCCAACCGAACTGCTTGTAATTCTTTATTATGTTGTAAAGCGCATGTTTCAATATCTGTAATTTTATTACCAGATAAATTCAATATTTGCAGCGAAGTCATATGACGAAATGCACCACATCTTACGTAATTTATTGAATTCTCTGTTAGACGTAAACCAAACAAATTTTTCATTGTTGATATTGAAGTGTTCTCAATATTTGTTATGAAGTTTTCACCCAAATCCAAAGTCCTAAGCTGTTGAACACTGTGCAATGCATCCGGAATACTGGATAATTTGTTACTGTTTAAATGCAAGTCCTGAATTGCAGAACAATTTTTAAAAGATTGTAAGTCAATTTCAGATATTAAATTGTAATCAAGACTTAATACCAACAATCCAAATAATCCGTGGAATGTAAAATCCTCAATTAAAGAAATGCGATTATTGGACAAAATAAGTGTACGTAGGTTTTTTAAATTCAAAAACGATTTGCGATCGATATTGCTAATATAGTTGTTCTGCAATTTCAATGTTTCTAAGCTTAATAACGATTGAAATATGTTAGATTCCAGTTTATTAATTCGATTATATGACAAATCTAGTAATATCAATTGGCGCAATCCAATGAATGTTTCTGGGTTCACCCACTGTGAATTAAGAGAGTTCATCGATAAATCTAGCAAACGCAGTTCGTGTAAGTGATTGAATAAGCCCGGGGCTAAAATGTTAATACTGTTATTTTTTACATATAATTCTTTCATAAGTTTGGTTTCTGCAAATAGTTCTGGAGGAAGTGATGTTAAATGATTATCAGATAAATCCAAAACTGAGAGCGAAAATAATGCTTCAAAAGCGCGATCAGCGACAAAATTTATATTATTTCTTGATAAATTTAAGTACTTTAAGAAAGAGAGTCCAGAAAGTATAGCTGATGGAAAAATTGAAATTTTATTAGAACTCACATCCAAAGAAATTAAAGATGAGCCGCAAATATGGAATTTACGTGATGTTATAGATGCACTAAACCGAAAACTACTTAGATCTTTAATTTCATTAAAAGACATGTTCAGATATTTCAATACTTTTAATGGACAAACCATACCATCTGGTATAAATCTGATATTATTGAAGCTTAAATCTAAATGATCTAGTTGTCGAAATTCGTTAAAGCTATTTGATGAAATATTCAACGACATTGTCGACCAATCAACATTATGCGTTCTTATAGTAAGATTACGTAGGTTGTATAATCCACGGAATGAAGCTTGCGTCAATTGGCCAAATTTACAGTATTCTATTGTCAAATCTCTTAAATCTACCAGCGAATGAAAGCTGTCAGTGTTAAGACTGCTTTGTAAGAAGAGATCATCATTGCACATAAGCCGAAGTCGCCTTGTGTTTTGCGATTGAATAACACTAAAATTGGTGTTCTCTAGTTCTGAATTGATGGTACGTAAATGACAAATTAGAGTTATATCGCTGTTATCAGATCCAATCCAACTACATTCATCTGGCGCTTGATATAGAACGGTACTATTTAGCGTGGCACCATACAAAGAACATAGAAACACTGTAAACCCATGTAGAAGTATTTTCAACATAATTGTAAACATTCACAAATGGGTTAAATCATATTTTACTTTTTTTAACTTGCTCATATTTGACCATTATACTTATTTGCACACTAACAACATTTCTGTGTTTCAATATTTATTTAAAATACACAATTTATCATTTTAACAATTTACATTTTACCCTGCTACCTGTTTTTTTTGGACGCTTAACTGAATATCAATTTCAATACGACCAAGATCACAGCATATCTTTCAAAGAACGGAAGTTTCTTTCTTGATGTAGATATTCTTTGATCGGGAGTGTAAATCGATCTGTACGAATCGATAAAAATCGCATTTCACTTCAATTATCTTCTCTATATGATATTGAATTAAAATTTCATTTACATATAGCAAAGTAAACATTCAAATAAAAATTTTCTGAAGGAAAATTTATAAATTAGAATGAAAATATATTTAATCACACGTTGAAATCAAAACTAAAAACATTTTTAGTATTTTAATAATAATTATGTGCAAATTCAAAACTCAAGGCTCAGTTAGACGGTAGGTAACGTAAGAAATTCAGGCCTATTCTGAATCACATGGGAATGGGAGTTTGTTCCCTGTTCCCAAGTTTGCTATTCTGAATAATTTGGGAATGGCAGTTTTGTTCCCTGTTCCCAACTTTGCTATTCTAAATTGCATGGGAATAGGAGTTTTTTCCCACAAGTTGAAAAAATATTAAAAATGGTTTAATTTAATATAAAAGTAACTGAAAATGGTCAGATTTTTGAATATATTTTAATAAAATTATTATTATAATAAAATTATTACAATAAATTTAATATTTTCTAAGTTTTATTTTTTTATTTTACCCACAAGAGTTGATTAGTTTTCCAAATATATTTTAATAAAATTATTTTAATAAATTTGATATAACTAAATTTTCATTCAATATATTTTATTAAAATTATTATTTTAATAAAAGTATAACAAATTTAAAATATTTAAATTTTTATTTATTTATTTTATTCACACGGGTTTTTTTCCACTAATTAAAGTGTTAACTATTGTTTTTAAAACAATAGAAAAATGAAAGGAAACCAAATTCTGAAGTGAATGGGATTCCTAGAATAAGTTAAAATAAACTTTTGCAATTATGTACAGGTAAAACATTGCTTCTTTTTTATTGTAACATCTGCACAATTATAAACTATTATTAGTTCATTATTTGAAGCATGAAGAATATTTCTATCCTAATTATATAAAAAAATTAAATTATAATTTACGCAAATTTTGTATAAAAGCAGTAAATGTTTAAAAATAAAGACATTGAAGAATTGATATCATAAAGCACTTTACTAAAGGTAGGCTGAGCTAGAGCGACATCGTGGTTTTTTTCAACACCTGTCTGATAAGCTCCTTCAGCAAAGAAACGCAAACATCCGCTCAATTTCACCATTGGAGCAACTGCAAACTGCTTCTTTGCTGGTTGTAGTTCCTCAGTAAGTTCCTCTAACAGGTAAATAAATGCTGGTTTATTTATTCTGTAACAGTTTTGAAATCTATAATGAAAAAAACGTTTATTTTGGAACCAAATTAAATTTACATTTGTAGTTACAAGGAATCGGGCAACTCAAGTGGATTTGCAGCGTCTCGTAAGTTTCTGCAATTGATCCTCTGTTGCAAAATTTCTTGCTCCTGTTCTTGAGCCAAATTCTCCGCCAAAACTCGTAATGCAATTGAATGAATTTTTGAAAACTTTTTTAAAATTTTTTATTTAAATAAACATTAAGAACTGCACAATTCTTGTTTATTTTGCTCATGCGCAATTCTTTTTATATATTTATTTTACTCATTAAAATAAAAATTTTTTATTATTTATTATTTTATTATTTATTATTTACTCATAAAATAACTTATATTTGTTTCCGATAATTTGTGCAGCAAACAAATAATACGGTTTTTACATTTAAATCAACTTGTAATACGCAATTCTTTTCTTTGTTTTGCTCATTTTCGGACTTTTCGTCATTAAAATGGTTGCCAAAATTTAACAAAACAAATTTGAAACTGTTGTTGTTCCCAAAACTGCTGTCTCCCAAGCAATTCAGAATAAGGGAGTTGTGTGTTTGGGAACAGGGAGTTGTGTGGGAATAGGAAGTTTCGTTCCCTGGGAGTATTCAGAATAGGCCTGAATACCATTTTCCTGTTTTAATATGTATTGTTTTTTTATGTATTATGTATTTATGTACTGTATTTAAATATCACACTTCTAAATTTTTATTTTATTGTATTCATATATTTAGGTCGTGTGCGAGTTAGGCTAAGTTGCGTTCTAAATTAGGGAAATTCTAAGTTGTGTGGATAATGCAGTGATGTGTCAATACTTATTTATATTTTCGAGGTGGCTAAGTCGAGACAAGGAATCTAGAGTACAAAGAAGCGCCACGCTCATACAAACGAAATACCCACTTTATTTTGCTGGTGGATTTATAATAAATTCACCCAATCTCATGCAACAATGTTCGATCGAGTCACAACTGGTATGATGTTCAGTTCTAACCTATATGTGAATCGAGTACAACTGACAAAAACCCGACTGCATACGTATTCAATCATACATGTAACTCTATGTATTACATTTTACGCATGTTTGTATGTTTGTTCGCTTTAAAATGTTCAAGCGATCAAACAGCATTTCAGTGACGAAATCAAAATTGTGTACATCTGATAAGTTTTTAAATTTAATAGCATATGAAACAAAAATACCTGTTTGATATTGTTATGAATTGTAGTGTTAAAACACATTACAAATTTATTTATGTCTCAAATCTGATTTTTCCATTCTATAAAGGTTTATATTAAAATGTTGTCCATGCACAATGTTTCCGAAGCAATATCTTAATTACCAATTTTAACATTTCAATCCGTTTCCTCAAACCAGGAAGCATTATTAGTGGTTTTAGTGACTTCTACACATTTTTTCATTATAATTTTTCATATATTTATTTTCTTTAAAAATCCTAAAAATTGTAACAGACTTCACAAAACACGTCTTATTTAAAATAATATTATTTAAAATAATTACAAAAAGTCACCAAAAATTCAAACTATTAAGAAGTAGTTCCTTTTAAGATAAAATATATGTACAAATGTGCAATAAAAACATACATATTTGTATACTGCAGACTTAATGTCTCCAATATCACATTTGTACATACATAATGGCTTTTGTAGTGCATCATTTTTTGCAATAAAAAAAAATAATATATTCTATTACTCTTTACTCCTATGATATGGGCCTTTCCAGTACAAGAAAATAGCGCAACAATGTATATGGAAAATTTATTTGAGGGATTTCTTTACCATTCACTTCGTTACTAATCCATGTATATTAATTAAATAAACAAATAAAAACAAGAAAGGCAATAGAAACAGGCGTATAAAAACAATTATGGGTTGCAATGAGTTTGAACTGAACATCATACCAGTTGTGACTCGATCGAACATTGTTACATGAGTTTAGGTGGATTAATTATAAATCCACCAGCAAAATAAAGTGGATATTTCGTTTGTATGAGCGTGGCGCTTCTTTGTACTCTACATTCTTTGGTCGAGACTAAATCGCCAGGGCTGCCATTTTAGTATTTTCATAGGAGAATATTTTCATGCATTCATTTAAATGAATACATGAATATAAAAAATATTTCAATAAAAAATAATTTTATTAAAATTATTTCATTTTTATTTTTTTTATTCGTATTAAAAAAACATAAATCATCGTTATTAGACAACTTTTAACCGAAAAGTAATCACTTTTTGCATATATTTTTCATTATTTAATGAGCATTTGTAATAAATTTTGTAAATATCTGTATTTTCTAAAATTTTTATTACTTTAATTAAATATTATACATATTTATTTGGTAAAATTTTATTATAGTGGCTGTTTCCAAAAAAGTAATTAAATTTCTTTTCAGTGACTTGGCAATATTGTTTTGGTAATTTTTGACATTTGAATAATTTTGTTTGTGTTCAACATTGTTTGTAAACAATTTATATATTGAGAAGGTAAAACAACTTGATCCACTTTGGCAACCAAAGTTAAAAAGTGCATAGAAATGTAAGCCTACCTTTAGTTGGGTAGTAGATTTCACTGAGTACAAAAAGCTGAACATGAAAAAGATGTTTTTGGCTTTGTCAAAGAAGCCAATCTTGAAAGTTTTGCAATGTTTGTGTACGTCCTTACTATAATTTAATGCAAATAGTACACTTATTGATACAAATTATCAAACGTGTTGAGATGTTACTGACAATAATAATATTCGTATGCTGTTGTCTTCATAACAAAATTTTTAACTTACCTTTTTTTTAATTCAGATCTTGTAATGATTGTAAATAAGGTTTTGGTAATTCATTAATAAATAAAATAAAATTTGATTTATTCAACACAATTATTTTTTGAATTTTTTATATATAAACCTGGCTAGATTTAAATTTACTTTGTGACAATAATTCTAAATGATGGTGACCTAAATAACTTCAAAATAAGGGTATCATTAGGACTGGTGGTCAGTAAAATATTGAATTTTTACCTTTAACGATATTATACTTGTTTGGAAAATATTGGTACTACTCTTTGCACCAGTTGCTTTCAATAATTTGTTTTTAAAATACCTTGAATATTTTTGGGTGTACAGCATGTCTTGAGTCGAGAATAATTCCTCTAATTTATGCAACTTCTGCAAATAATTTGCTGTCGAAGCCGAGATAAGTCCTTTGATTTATTGAATCTTACTTGATTGTTTTTTCTTGCAAACGACAAAACCTCCACTAATGTTTTTAGTGGCAGCGGCAATGATGATGAAGTCCGAGACAAAGTCAATAATCCCACAGATTTTTACTGTATTGTGGAATGTTACGAAATTTTTTATTTCGAAAACGCAACTCAAGAGGTTTTCAAAACATATTTAAGACAAAACATTTTTTATATAAATTAAAATTATCTACAACTGTAATAAAATATGTAGTAATAAGACCAAAATATTAGAAACCAACACTTAATCTAATACACAACGCTTTTAATCCGCTTATAATAGCAAAAAAGAAATTAATTATGAGTTTCTCACAAAAAATTAGCAAATACAAAAAACGTAAATGTTATATTAAGTTTTTAATTTTTAATTGTGAAGATCCAAGAAATGATAATTCAATTACAAATCAATAATCATTTTATGATAATCGGTGTATAAATATGTTTTAAAAGTTTTA